TCAAAGTTCTTGTATTGACATATATCTTTGTCATAATAAGAAGTTTAAAAATGTTGTCTTGTTTTTATTTACTTGATTTACTTTATTTATTTGAGGTTGATTATATTTACATAGGTTTATCTGTACACAGTCCTCCTTTTGAAAATTGCTCTGCATATCCTTACCCATTTAAAAAATTTTTACTGCTTCTCCTTTTCATGAGTTTCTAGACTCTGTTTGTCAGTATGCATATTAACCCTTTCCTGATGTATATACACATATTGCAAATATTTTCTCCAATTTAGTAACAATGTTTTGGTTCTTTTCACTGCACAGAAATATTAAATTTTGTTATAGCTGTTTAATTTTTTCTGCTATTGCTTCTATTGTTTTCATCATGATATTTCTAACTATTGTTATAAATATAATCAATATGGTAAATGAAACAGCCTCTTCTATTTTCATTAGGACTTTTATGGGTTTTTTTTTTAAGTTTAGATTGTTAATGCCTCTGGAATTTCTTCTGTGATATGGAGGAAGATAATGAATTAGTTATGCTTAACTCACCAGAAGGCATTTTAATTCAGATATCAATTTGTAACAGTAAGTAGACACAGTAGGGTTATTCAGAGACTCCTACTTCTTCCAACCTCTACAGAACAAGTCAGCAGGTATCACTAGAGCACACCCAGCCTATGGCCTATTTTTTGTAAATATGTACTATTAGAACACAGCTATACCCATTTGTTTATAGTGTTCGTATATATGTTTATAGTGCATCAGGCAGAAGACTTGAGTAACTATGATATAGGAAGGCTAAGGCCTAAAATACTTACTATTGACTCTTTATAGAAAAGGTTTGCTGTCTCATGGTCCTTAGTTACCACATGGGAGAGAAAGCTCATGGAGAGTCTCCTTGGATGGGACCTGGAAGTGGAATACAAAGCACTTCTACATATGTTCCACTGGTTGGAATACACTTGCATGGTCTCGCCCAACTACTTGGAGAGCTAAGAATGTGAGTTAGTGTGTGCCTGGGAGGAAGGCAGTGATTAGTCACTTGGCCACAGTATTGTCTGCAATTACTCATTTATTTCTATTGTTAGTGGGGTTGTTAGGGTCAGAGCCAGGGCTCTAGCAGCCTTAACCAACTAGCCTAGCCAACTCCTCAATATGCCAGTTAAAGGGACAACTGGTGTCCTGGTGGTACATGCCTTGGGAAATGAAGGCAGGAAGATCAGGAATTTAGGGTTATCCTTGATTACACAGAAAGCTCTAGGCCACCTTGGGTTATATGAAATCTTACCTAAGAAAGAAAGAGAGAGGGGGGATATAAAGAGCAGAGAAAGGACATTTATTTAATGAGGCCACAATGGGAAGAGGAGTTAAAGAAGTCCAATGATCTTCCTGCCCCAAGTCCACACTCAGGTTTAATTTAAATAGAGGGCAAGAAGTATTCACAACTAAGCAGTCAAGGTGTGGTCCTGCCATTGCTGACCCATCTTTGTCTTGGCTCTAGTCCTTCCTGCATGGTAGATTGACAAGTTTTCAGAACTTTGTGAATCTCTTCCAAGGAAGCAAGTTCCCCTTCTGGCAGGTACCAAGGCCTCAGCCTTTTTCCTCCCCAGCAAAAGATTCCTGGGGAAATTCCAAATCCATGGGGTCTGTTGTTTCAATAATCTGATGGCTGAAGGGAGGAACACGGTGTTTCCTTTTAGAATATTGTCACTCTTGCCAGGAGTTACACTGCCTCCCTATTTTAAATCACAATAGGCTAGATTTTATTGCTAAAATGAACAGTCCCAAATCTCTGTGGCTTATTTTATTCCTCACTCATACTACATGTCAACTAAGGACCATAAGGATGGGGCTGCTCTGTGTTGTCACTGGCTGCCATCCGATGGAGCTGTCACCTCTATGTACCTCACTGTTTCTAGTATTGAAAAGACAACAAGGTGATCTGTGCGCTAGCTCTAGACTTTTTTTTCTTCCAGGAAGTGATATTTATCACTTTCATCCACATTTCACTGGCTAAAGCAAGTTGCAGGGTATGCTCCAGTCAAGTGAAGAAGTGGAATCCCATTACTGTTTTTGAAGAACTGGAGTTATCTGTCAACAGCCCTATTGAACAGCGCATTCGCATAGGCTCAATGCATTCATCTCCTCCCTGAGGGACATAATCTGGATTCTACTCAGCGATTGCACCCAGTCAAAGTCCAGGATCCCCTGGTGTTAGCCTGCTCTATCAGGTCTAATGTTGTATGATGATGTGGAACCTGGCAGCTGCATCATTCTGTCCACAACTACTCACTCAGATATTGATATTCAAATAGATACTCTAACTGATGGTGGCCTACTGTGGGCTATCATGAAGGTGAACTTTGCTCTGAAGGACCACACATAGAGAATTAGGAACCCAGCAGGACTGGGAGGGAAAGCAGGGAGTGGGATTTTGCTGAAATCAATACCGCAGGAGTCAGCTTTATTGACCCCCGCCCCCCCCCCGCCCCCATGTTTACAGTGAAGCACACTGGGTAGAGAGTGAAGGTAACAAGGTGAAAGAAAGCAATAGCTACCGCTGTAAAATATCTGCATGGAAATATTAGGAAATTTAGATGAACACACTGCCTCTCAGAAGACATGATGATAGGATACTTGTTTGCTTCAGAAAGGACTTTTACTTTTTTATTTAGTTCTTTAAAAAAAAAAAAAAAGTAAACAAAGACTCAGATTACAATCTTGAAAACATCATGTTGAACAACCCCAGTCATACTGGCCAGTCACATAACCTCCTGGTCATAATTTCAAATAATGTAAATTTTCAAACAGTTTTCCAACATCTGCTCAAAAACATTGTCTTTTTTTTTTCATAGTCTACTTCTGTGGGCTTTTATATCTCCATGTAATAGTAGGAATGTATTTCATATGCTTTTAAAATTATTTATGCTTGACTCATCAAAATACTGCTATTTGATGTGCAAGAAGCTTTTACTTACATTTCAACGAACATTTTAAACCCTCGCTTCCAGAAACTGAAGGTTTTATTTTTTCCACAGTGAATTAATTTCAGCAGCCAAAGGTCTAAGTTTGATTCGAAACTTACTCAGTAAAAATTTATAGAAGTCTGGTTGCTTTTACTGGGCCCTTCTCAGTCTCTTGAAAGATACTATTGTTTTCTTAGAGTTACTTTATCTGTGTCATTTTGTGAGCTGGGCCTCCCTTCCCCCTAGAGATTAGCGGGAGTCTGGTTTGTCCTGTGGTGACTGCTTCTACACCTATGTTTTTTCATCATTTCGAAGCTTTGACTTCTCTGCTCTCAGTACACATAGCCATTATTATTATAGCCATGACTTACTGGAAAGCTACCTTCAAATATGAAAAGGCCAGATCTGGCTTCTGAAAACCCTTTCATCCCTCTGGTCATATTCAGTTCTTGAAAGTATTTTTCTGTCAGACTTCAGTAAGCAAGTTGGATTTGGAGTCCAGGGAAGGTTATGAAGTAGAAGAAAGGATTGAAAACTGAGTTCAGTGTTACTTCCAAAGCCCTCCTAGGGAAGCAACAATTTATTATTCATTTGGGAATTCTGATCAAGGGGAATATCCTCTCAAAACTTAAGTGACTGGCTTTGCCAGAAGATCTGAAATGGGAAGCAAATTCCAAGTTGAATTGTTTTAAGTTACTAATTCATCTACATTTAATAAGCAATAGGATGACTTCCAGAAGCAAGGTTGGGTTTTTTTATTTGTCTTTGTTTTTGTCAGCAAGGCAGGGCTAGACTGGGTTCAAATTCTTCCTCCATATACTATAGCTAAAAACTTAGGCAAGTTATTTAATCTATCTCTGTGACTCCTTTCCTATTTATAAAAAGGGCAAAAGTCATATCTACCTGATAGAATTATCTGAAGGATTAAATTAGCTAATATAGCACACACTAGTGTTATATTTGTGCTTCACCAATCCAGCCCGTGTGGTAGCAAGAACACCCCAAGCCATCCTCTCTTTTAACTAGCTGGGCTTTGTCAAGGAAAGTATGATGTATTGTAGAGATGAACATCACCTAAAAGGCGTATTTTATTTCAAATAATGGCTTCCTTCAATGGAATGATGCACAATCCTGCTTGACACTCTGCGCCCCAACGCTATTTGGAGCAGGAGACAGCCTGATCTGATATTTATAATGGGCTCTGACACCCCATGAAGCCGCTGAGAAAGTTACTATTGGGAAAAAAGGCGGCTAGGAAGTTACCCTTCAAAAATAAACTGGAGAGCCGCCTGCATTTCCCTCTGCTGCCTCTGGAAGAGGTGTGCTATCTAAAGTGCTCCCATCATGAATAACGATTGAGGAACTGCCTTTACTCTCTCCACTGCTACACTCGCAGGCAGAAACCCCACGGGCCGATGCTACCGGCGTGTCACTGTAGCTCGGTTATCTCCCACAGTTAGAACCCAGCAGGAGACCGGCCGCGAAGGCGAGGGGCCGGAACACTCCAGCTTAGTCGGGTTTTGAAGGTCGGACCTAGCCCAGCACTTATCCCGGAGCCTGATTTTCCGCGGCATTTCCGAATAAGCTATCTTTGTTTACATTTTGAGCTTGGCTCATCTTCAGAAAGCATTACTACCTTCTGAAGAGAGCAGCATCTTGCTATGCAGACTGCGCTGGGGGCAGCAAAGTTCATCTTCCCGGGTAGGGAAGGGCGATTCTCTCGCCACTCGCGCGCGCTGTGACCCATGTTTGGATAAGAGGGGGAGGTTTCGGGGAGGTGGAGGTTGGGGGTGGGAAGGCGAGGAGGTTGGTGCCGGGCAAGCCAGAAAAGTGCGGAAGCTGGATGGGGATCTTTCTAGAAAGTAGGGTGGGAAAGGAGCTGGGGAGGGCGTGCGGGGGAACGGGATCTGTCAGAACGTGCGTGTGAGCCGAAACAAAACCCAGGGAGGCGTGAGCGGCGGCGTGCGAGCGAGCGGGGAGCGAGGGGCGCCGGCTCGGGAGGGTGCGCCTGGTGAGTGACACGGGGGCGGGCGGCCGCCGGGCGGGGGCGGCTGCGCGGGCGGGAGTGTCCCTGCTTGGGGCGGCCGAGCCCCAGCAGGCAGTGCAAGAATCCAGTCCTCCGGCCGTGCTGGCTGCGCCGTCCTCCGCGAGCACCGGCAGCTCGGGACGGCGTGCGGCCCAGCAAAGGCTCCTGCTCCGCCCGCCCTCCGCGCCGCAGGGGCCGCCGCCGCTTGCGCCCCCCGCCCGGGATAGAGCGGCCGCGCTCCTCCGAGGTAAGCCAGCAGGCGGGCCCCCAGCGCGGGGACGTGGGACGCGGCAGGGCCTGCGCGGCCGGGATGAAGGACCTTGGTCCCCGCCGCCGGCGCGGTCCTTAGCCTGTGCTCCCGGCCGCCGCCTCCCGGGGCGCTGGGTGTGGCCGAGCTGAACGCGGACGCGGGCACCGGACGCGGCGGTTGCCGTTCTTCCTCTCCCGGCCGGCGCGGGCGGTCATCGGGAGGCGCCCCCGGCAGGCGTGTGTGACCGCTGCGCTCGACGTGGACCCGCCCGCCCCGAGTTGAGTGGCTCGCGGTCCCCAGCCTGGTAGCTCCGCGCTGGCGCCTGCTGCCCTCCCGCCGCGGCCGCGCTCCAGCTCCCGGTGCGGGGCCGGGGTCCCGGGCTTCCCGCGCCCCTCGGCGCCAGCCGGTGCGGGTCCCTGGGCGTTCGTGGGCGCGCGGCGAGGGTGCGTCGGGGAAGTGGGCGCCCCGGGCGCGGGACAAAGCGGTCGTCCGGCCGCGTCTGGGCGGATGGACGACCCCCCCGCCCGCGCCTCCCCTCCCCCAGTCCGCCGGCGGTGGGCGGACTGCAGCCTAGACCCAGGGTCGTTTCCAAGACGCAGAAAGAACTTGACTTTTGCGTGCCTTGGAAGATCGCGGTGCTTACTCGCACTCTTCTCTGTGGTCTACGCTGACTGCGGACATAGGGGTGAAGGACCGAGCCTCCACCTGGACCGGGATGCGACGGAAGCCTCCCATCATTTCCTTCCCATCCTAGAGAGTGGAGGCTTCCAGTGCGCAGAACGGTTGGTGTGTTTGTGAACTTGATGAGATTCGGATTCCCAGCAATCCTGGTTTTTAAGCAGATGCCAAGGTTTTGGAGACCTGACACTTTCATTAAAGATTTTTTATGTAGCATTTTTCCTTTACAGTGACTGTAGCTTGAGAACTATAGAAAACCCTTGAACTTAAAGAACCTTTCTTCCCCTTTCATGAAACGTTATGTGTAGTATTTTCACTTACCTAAAATGATTTATTAAAGTATCAGCCTCTTTGCAGGTCCACAGATTTTAAGAAAAAACAAACTTGGATTTTATAACCTGTGAAGAGAAAGAGGAAAGTTGCGTGGTCTTTATATCATCATTTTATTTTGTTTTAAAGGAACAATTCATTGCTACCCTAATTCTGCTTTCCAGAGATTAAGCAGATGTGCATTATGGCAGAGGAAAGAAAGGACAGGAAGTCAGAAATAGAAGAGACTATTCAAGTAGTAAAGTCAACTATTTTGAAAGAACTCTTTTAAAAAGTTGCCTTCTGAATAAAGTATTTTACGAGCCTTATTGAAATTGTGTTACTTAACCAGAAAGCAATGTGTTGTGTAGATGGGGGCAGTCTTAGCAAGTAACCATAGTGCTTAAAAAATATCTGTATCTGATGTCTGTTCTTTAACCAGAAAAAAATTAACTTTGGGAATGATTTTCTATTTGGACAAGGCAAATACTACTGTAGTCTCTAATTAGAGTTTTGGAATAAACTCAAGCTGGGTTAAAACCTTTTTCTATGGAGCAACAGAACAGAACACATGTCAGATTCCGTATGGCTTTAAACACACACACAGACACACACAGACACACATACACACAGGACTAGCTCCAAAAGAAAATTTGTATAAAAATACAATCACTGGAATGCAGAAATTATTTCAGAGATTAGTAAAAACAGCTGAACATCTGGGAAAGGAGTATATTAATTGGCAATTTTCTTTCTTTAATCTGAAATATTAAATGATTTCCTCAGGATCAACTTAGTGTGCTCGATTAGGCAGGCAAAATGATCAGTGCTTCTTTTGTATTCCTTCTGTTGGAGGGAGCCCCTGAAAAGAGTCTTCAGTTGTTAGTTTCTTAATTTTCAAGTGGCCATGTAGAGAGAGGTATCCTTGGGCTTGAGAAGCTGCTCCGCCAAGTCAGCAGTGATCAGAGAAACAAAACACCTAGGCCACAGCATGGCTGTCTCTGAAACACTGCCAGATAGGTCACCTTTGCCATGGAAGTGGCAATATTTTTTTTTTAAGAAGTCAGGCTGTAGCAATGCCTCTTTTCAGTCCTTATTTTCATCAGTTTCTTAGTCTGCAATCAGAAAATTGTGCCACCATTAACAGCAAATGTTCATTGATGGTTGTTTATTGGAAATGCATAGGTGGTCTTCATTACCTTTACACAATTGCAATCAACATCTTATGAAATGAGTCAGGATAAGAAGTTTGGGTTCCAGTTTTGATATGATGGAAAAAGTAGAAGTGGCTTATGGTAAGATTTAGTTTGCTACCAGCTGTCTTGCCATGTGACAAGAGTGATTATGTGCTTGTATGCATCTGGTAGATACTGCTTAGTCACTCTTCTCTGGTTTTGCTTTCCTGGTGATCTTCCATAGTGCTTTTACTGTTATTTGACTATGATAATTGAATCTGATGGTGGTTCTAATGTGTGTACCCAGAACAGTAACTTTTATAAGCATGACACAGGATGTGAGGGCAAAAACCATATGGACAGATTTGAATGGTTGTGTGTATTTATCTCTGAATGGTTGAACATAATTCATCTAATCAGTTAATTCTATCACTGTTCCACCTTAGAGTGTAATCACACAATTAAAATAGAATTTTCATTATACAAACAGTTAAAAACCCAGTAAACATGATTATAGGAGAAAAACAAACCTTATTTTTTCTTTCCTCTTTTGAAGTTGTCTGCTATGAAGGTGTTATTTCCTTGACACATCAAAATGGCTAATTTAGGGTTGTGATGTTTGTTATGTAAATAGGCCATATGTTGAATTTCTATAGACATTTATCTGTTCTGTGTTGTAGCAGTGGGTAGAAACCCCTAAGTACAATAGCAAAAATAATCTGGGAAGACAAATCTCTACTATAGATTTCTTTTCCATTATGTTTATTTGATAGCCAATAGTTTTATTTTCTTAAAAAACTCCTTAAATATGATCTACCTTTCTATCCTAATATATCTTTGACTGTAGTACTGATCAGTTTCCATTCCCATTTATTTGCTTGTTTAACAGACTTTTCATGGTGGATGTCCAGCTCTCAGGCCAAAGGGTATAGGCATGCTAACAGATTTCTTCCCATTTTCTGCTACACATGTTCCTTTGATGATAAGAAGACTTAACATTTCTTAATATTTTGAGGTTTCTCTGGATCACAAAATCTAGGAATCACTTCAGACTCTCTCCCACTGAGAAACCTTGACAACTTTTTCTTTGTGACAATTTCCCCAAGAGCATACCCCAGTATTTTCTTTTCATTCTTCATTGCTGCTTGGAGCCCAAGTTCTCAGACTTTACTCTCTGCTAGTGCTGTTTACACCCCTCTCTTTCCAGGTCTGTTTGTATTGAGTTCCCCCATCTCATGTGCTTTCACCACACTGACTTCCTTCTAAAATGCTTTTCATTAGATCACTTCTCAAAGAGTATCTCACAAGAAACTTGTGGTAAGCTCAGCTTACTTGATTCTAAGCCAGTGCTATTTCCAGTGCAAGGTGGTCCCCAACTGGAGATGATCTAGCTTAAGATTTATCAGCTTTATGTAATACAAACATGATATGCATCCAGCAGAAACTATACTTTGAATATTCATCTTTTCCTGGGCTAGTGATGCTCACTTTGGTATTCTCTTGTTGGTGCTGAGCAGTGGCAGTGAGCTACCACTTCTACTGAGCCATAAGGTCAGGAAAGGAAACAAAGAATGTGCTACATGTGTCTAACCTGAAGCCCAGTGGGTCACACAGAGTACAAGATAGCTATGATGGTGGCTCAACACAAAATCATAAATGTAAGATATGAGACTTTAAAAAAAAATTTTTTTTCTTGTACCTTGATCGCACAGTTCTCTAGTGTGAACATTGTAGATGGCAGCGTCCTGGCACAGTGTTAAAAGGATGGATACCTCTTCCTGTATTGCTAATGGTTTTAGATATGTGTTCAATAAATGACATGATTTAAACACTTGCTATAAAATAGTCTTTCTGTTAGATGACTTGCCCAGCTATAGGTCAATTGAAGTGTTCTGAGCATGTTTAAGGTAGACTAAGATTATCTCTGACATTCGGCAGGTTTAACAACCTCCTTCTAACTTACTGTGGGTTTATTGAGAGTCTTGCCACAGTAAGCCAAGGAGCACCTATAGTTCAAATACTTTCCATTCCTCCTGCCCTTGGCTGGCATAAGGTCCAACCTCCCAGCCTGGTAATCATGTGCTTTATATTCTTGCCCAAATTTAATTCAACAGTTTTATTTTCTACATTTTAACATGAACCTCCTGTTTCTACTGCTTGGCTCCTTCTGCCCTTCTAAGATGACGTGCTCATTTTCATTTGTTCTCTTTTGTTTATGCCTAGCTTTTTTTTTTTTTTTTTTTTTTTTTTTTTTCCCTTCTTTTTTTTTTTTTTTTTTTTTTTTTTTGCCCCAGCTGTCCTGAACTCACTATATAGACCAGGCTGGCCTTGAACTCACAGAGATCCGCCTGCCTCTGCCTCCTGAGTGCTGGGACTAAAGGCATGCGCCACCACGCCAGGCTAGAATTGTCTTTTCTGTTTTTCTCTGACCTAACCACATTCTTCAAATTCAAGCCATGGCTGTGTTACTGTCACTGTTTCCTCCTCCTCCTACCCTTCTGTCTCCATCATTCTTAAATTTAGACCCTTAGATCTTCTCCTGCACCACTGAGTACCTTATTTTTACTTCCTAGATAGATTGCAAGTTACTTGAGGGTGCTGATGTACCTTCTAACTTCAAACCATCTGTAGGTCTTTGGTCATAGCAAGCAATTAATTAATTTCTTCTTTGAAGAATTAATGTCAGAAGGCTGATTTGTCCTTAATTGATGGTCTTTGAGATTCTCTCCATGTTGCTCATCATTGTGTTTTGGGGGCCTAGCTCGAGTCTGACACTTAATCATGACCTCAATAAATATTTGTTAACATAGAAATTAATGTTGACATTGGATGAAA